ATAATTAACGTTTCCGTCCACATTTTATGAAATTCAGACGCACATCATCATACAGTCCAGAAAAATGAAAGAATCCGTTTTAACAGTATGAATATATGACAGATATGTTCTACTACAACTGTGTTGAGATAGTTGATCACAGGCAGAACCAACATTCGCAGGCGTTGTTAAAACCTTTCCTCACAAATGATACAAACCTCGAGATGATTGAAGATCTCTTTGTGAATTTCATTAGCTGTTTTATTAAATAACTAATGATTGTATCATTTGTAGCTGGGTCATGTAAGTACATTAAGGTGGCAACAGTGGTTTCATCAAATTCCACATGTTTTTTGCAAAAGTTTGTATAATAGTTCTTGGACATTTTCTCTATTTCTTTGCCTGTTTAACAAAAAGTCAGACCATGAAAAGAATCCATGATTCTCTCCAAATAGTCATCGGAGATCGATTTTAAATCTTCCATAGAACACTTTGCATAAGAATAGTTGTTGGCCGTAGTAACAAACTTCTCAAGAATTTTATTCACAGTTGATTTGACAAATTCATCTGCCTCATCTTTATCCTGGTCAATGACCTGAGATTCAGAGAAGTACGTAAACTGCCCAAAATCAAAGCTCATAGCAGGTGTGATGTTTTTACGAGCCTTGTCTATAGACGTCTGAAACTCCGTTCTCTCAACAGGTGTGAGCTCTGATACCCACGCAAAATTCAAATTTTGAGTAGATTTTACGTGATTCACTTCAGCCACAGGAACATCATTTTCATTTCTTTGTAGAAGTGAAATTTTGCCGTTAGAAATATTTTGTGCTGGTTTTACTTGTATCACTCGACTCGTGGGAAAAGAGCTTTCCTTAATTTCTGTGTCACTAACATCTCTTGTTGTTTTTCCATTCACGAGAAAAGAAGAGTTGTCTTTCTGTTCAGTGGCTCTACCGTTTGTTGTTGGTTGTTGCTGGACCGAGGCCTGGCTTTTGCTATCCAGTGAATGCAACGGAGTAATTGTATTTCACCTTTTCTTAAACCAGTCGAATAACATATTTATTTTGGACAGATATTTCCTCTTCTGTCTACCTGTCCACTGATTTACTTTTACCGCTTCTGTGGGGTTTAAATCGCTGTCTTCAGATATTGGTTCAGGTGTAGGGTACACCCTGAACATATCCTCTGGTTTTCCAGAGATTTGTTTTTGGGAACTCATTTTCACATTCGTTGTTGACTGAAGCGGAGTTAAATCTTCAGCAGACTGCAATTCTGTAATGCTGAGTGTTCCAGTTTTCTGCATTGTTGCTAAAAATAGTTTTTTTTGACTAGCCTATATATGTACAAAAAAATGTCATGTGATGTCATCACATCAAAGAAATAAAAAAATCAAAGGACACATGACATCACAGAGCATCACATGACATCACATGGCATCTCATGACATCACATGACATCAAAGGGATCAAAGGCAACATGACATCACATTACATCACATGACATCACATGGCATCTCATGACATCAAAGGGATCAAAGGCAACATGACATCACATGAAATCACATGACATCTCATGACATCTGTATTATGAAATTCTTTATCAAAAGGGCTCATGAACGATCGGCACAGATATTCAGACAAGGAAAAAATAAAACACCAGAGACTGTTACTGCTAGGAATAATAAGTGTCATTTATTAACCTGCCACAGAAAAACAGCCAAGCAAAAGTCATGTACACTCGTACACTCTTAACACACAAAATGATATGAAAGAACTTCTCACCGTGACACTGGCCGGGAAGTCGTTTTCGACCCAGGTAAAGAAGAATCACATCATCAACTGCATGGCACCGCGCGCGCTGGTCCACACAAGACTTCCCAAGTTTCCCTTGCCTGTCACTTCCTCTTATACCTTTTCCCTGACCGGATAGCGTGAGAGCAGTGAAAAACAACTTTGATGGTTGCCAGGAGGGCAGATTTAATTAAATCTGTTTTCCCATCATCAAAGCAGTCTGTGCAACAGAGTGATGGCTTCATAAAAACATGTCCTTCAAAATCTGGGTCACTGTAACCTTAAGATTGGGCCCAGTCTTCTGGTTAGAGCATCCCCCAGAGAACTTTAATTACTCCAAAACACATCTGCAGCACAGGCCTGACTTTAAGCAGATAAGCTGCATCAAAAGTGAGTATAAGTGTGTTTTCAAACTACATGTAAATGATTGTAAAATAAGTATAAATTGACATAAAAGCATCAAAATAATCATTCCTATATCAACATCACATGACATCAAAGGGATCAAAGGCAACATGACATTAGATGACATCACAGCTGTCCCCAAAACATACTCCAAGCACTAAACGATCCCAGAATAGGCAACATGAATAAAAACGCAAAAAGTACTAACTGTCCGGTTTTCCCGGAATCGTTTGAAATATTTATTTTCTATTCCTATTTTCGATGCCTAGTCCACCTGCAGCTATGGGCAATTTATGGGCTTTTATGGAAGAAACATTCCACATCTTTATCTTTAATTTGCTACGAGGAGCTGAAACCACTTTCCTCTTCAGTCATCTATTAATCGTCTTTTAGACGAGGTTTGAGAAGAAAAATGCAAAAAAATATATATTTTTATCTTCAAATAAAGCATAATATTTGTCTTGCTAGATAAAAAATACAGCAGGAAGATACAAAAAAAAAGTGTTATGGCAGCATCTTTTCACAGAAAACAGCATCAGGTGTCCAATTTAAGTTTTTTTATATTTGTTTTTTTCTTTGTTTCAACCGAAGCACATGTCCACCACGACGGCACACGCTATTTTCTAAATTGTCCCACGTTTTTAAGTGCTTTATTCCCATAACCCTTTTAGACACATCCAAGTTATACATCAAACCGTAAGTATTTTTGTCCTTTTTTTTTTTACCCAGTTTGTTACAGGACTTGTGGTTTTCTTTCAAATCCCTCAAGGGTGCACACACCCAAGCTCCCAAAACAGGAAGTGAGAGTTTTAATAACATCTGTCCAGTAGTTCAGGAAATATTTTGCTACAGACAGACAAAAAACACATTTCTATGAGCTCCTGCTAAACATGGCAGTGGGCAGTAAATATAAAATACCTCATAGAACAACTTCATATATTTATTAGCCTTCTAGCCCCTCCTCTAAACAAGCTGTTAGCCTTCTTATATTTTCCTCTTTTTCTTTGGATTGCTTCACGTGCAGCACCTAAAATGGCTTCACAAATAAAAAGATTTAAATTGTCAATATCTAAATCAATATTAACTATTTGCATTTTTATCACTTATTTTATATTTTTCCCAATCAGCACTTCTAAAGATCCATCTTTCTACACCTTCATTATCAAATGTTTCCATTTCCAAACTAATTTCAATTAGTATAGGATAATGATCACTTCCTATAGTTGACTCTCTTAATACTTGCCAATTACTAATCCCTGCAAGACTCTGATATTAAAGTTAAATCTAATGCTGATTCAGATTCATTTCTAATATTGATTCTTGTCCCCTTTCCATCATTAAGGCAAACCAAATTCTTTATATCCATCATTTCTTCCACCACCTCTCCATTACTTTATTCATTCATTCATTATTTAATTTCCCTCTGGGATTAATAAAGTATTTTTGAATTTAATTTAGTTGAATTACTACTACCCCACAAAGTACTGTAAGCATTAAAGTCTCCACAACAGATGACTTTTCCTTCAATATTTTTAAACATTTCCTCCATTTTATGTAAAAGGTTTTTACAGGGATTATAAAAATGTAATATTTTAATACTTTATTAATCCAAATTTCTACATAACCATTCTTATGTTATTCCTTTTTCTAAAAATCTATACTGTATTCCTTGTTTTATAAATATTATACATCCTCCTCCACTTTCTTGCTCTGTCTCTTCCAATACTGTCGTACCCTTGTATCACAAAATCCAATTCTGGTTTGAGCCATGTTTCTTGAACACAAATTATATCTGGTTTTCTTTTCAAATTATTTAGCTATCCTTTAAATTCTTGATCATTAGCTAATAGACTCCTTGCATTCCATTGAAGAATAATCATTATATTCTTCCTTCACCCAGTTTTCCATCTGTTTCAAGCTTTTTATTGATCGATTCCCAAGAAAAATCCTTCACAGACAGAAATTTCTCTGCACCTTTCACTATGATTTTGATTTTTTTCAGTTTTTTGCTTCACTTGATCAGTGAAATTAATAACATAAGCCATGAATATAATCAATTTATCCATTGTAATTTCCATTCCTGACATTGTTCTTTGACTAGATTCAGGTTTTGGACTAGGAGGAACTTGAGGATTTCCCTGCAGGACTACTGCTCTTTTTTCTTGCACCCTTTTTGTTGCTTCTGCAGAAGTAATGTTTTAAACTGTTTTAATGTGTTACGTTTCTGCTGCCTTCTTCCTTACTTCACATCCCCCATATGCTGCACTATGCTGACCTCCACAGTTGCAACATTTCAACTGTACATCTTTCCCACATTCATCATACCTATGATCTCCACCACATTTTGCACATCTTTGCTTCCCTTTGCACACTGCTGCAATATGACCATATCTTTGGCATTTGTAACAGCGCAGAGGAGGAGAGATATAAGACCTGACAGGAAAACACAACAGATTTTTATCAGGAAGAACGTCACCATTAAACTCCAAAAGCACCAAGACACACTCAATCCTTTTCCCAGCTACTGTTTAACAACCTTTTCAAAATTGCGTATTTCAGCATTATGAATATTCCTTTTAAAGTTTTTCCAGATCTTCCTCAAGTGGAATACCAGTGATAACACCACGAGATACCTTGTTTTCTCCAATAATTTTCCTTTCACTAACAACCTTTTTGCAAATGTTATTAATCTGCATAGCTTAATTTTTTTGTTCTTCAGATTTAAATTTGATCAACAGATTCCCATCACGCAGAATTTTCACACACCAAGCACATTTCCTTTTCATGTAATGTTTATTACAACTGTGCTTAACCAAACCTTTTCCTTCAGAGGTTTGGGTTGGCAATCTTGCCTATGAAAAGTACAGTCTTTGTACTCCGTTCAACAATCATCAACATGAAAGGACTATCAAACTTCAAATCTGGCATCAGGCAAGCAGATTTAACGATGGCAATTCCTGTGGCAGCAGCAGCAGTGGCTCCTGCCTCGTCAACATCCAGGGCAGCTCGGTGCACAACCTTCCAGCACAACAGAGGGAGCAAATATGGACAGAATGAAGGAAAGGAAATTTGAAACCGTACATTTTCTGTCATACCTCTGAGACAGTCAGGTTCCGCAGTTCAGAAATACCACTCAGATTTGCATGATCAAACATGTCTGTCATTCCCATTTCCTTCAGCACATCATTCAGGATGTAAGAAGTCTTGATGGAAAACTTGGGAATATAAATGGCACAATCCCTAAAAAAAAGATTTCATAATTTTAAAGACGAAATTAGTGGACATTAAGCAAGTTAAAGCAAACCTTAAAAAGGTAAGAGCAACCCGTATGCGATTACCTAGACTCTGTCACATTCAGCCATTTATCAACATGAGTGGGACTGATCATGTTCTCCAGAGTAGTCATATTATCAGGCATCAACAGCAGCATGGTGAAGGAGTTGTTGAAGGGAAGGTGAAGGACAAATGTGCCGATTTCTTCATCAAAAGTATAAAAGTGTTCTTCTATTTTCATCATCTGGACTGGAACCTGGAAAATAAGTTTGTAAACAAGGCACTGCACATCCATTACAAGCACCAACATTTACACACACACACAAAAAAAATAGAAGTGTATTCGCACTGCAATTTCAAACCTTATTATTTTCATCCACGTTGAATTCATCCAACTTGGTCAGGGCAGGATCAAACCCAATTGCCCATTTTACTGTTTGAAAGTGAGCAGAAACAAGACTTCTTTGTGGCAACCCAGTAAAAACAAAACTAGTCTCATCTCACGAGAAACTTTTTACCTTTGTAGTAAATGTAGCTAACGAGATACAAGACAGTACTTGGATCCAGGCTGTCGACCAGCTCCTCGATCGTTCCATTGGTCTTATCTGAAACGTACTTATTGATGGTATTGGTAGCATCTATGACTTTGGTGAAATCGACACTGAAGCCCTCAGCGAGGTAAAACTGCTTCAAGACATCCAGGAACTCAGGCTGAGTCTTGAACAGGTTGTCTACAAACACAACAGTACCTGAAGTGATGTGTTCATGTGCTTGTTCGCTTTTAACAATTGTACAAAAGGCTTCGTCTACATCACTTTGGGACAGTTGTGAGATGTTGAACCCCAGACCATTGAAAATCTGTTGGTGGGTCTCTCCTCGTGCCCCTACAGACAAAGCAGCCAAGGCCACAGATACACTAATAGGTGAGAAGAAGATGTTTTTGCCTTGGGAGTCAGAGAGACCTGATAATTTCCTGTACAGGTGGAAGGCAAACTCTTTGTTGGCCGATATCACCATTGCTGATCCATCGTTGAAGCGGTCCACTGTGGTGTTTTGGACATGGCATGGATCATGAGCACCTCTTCCCACACAGACCACTGCTGATAAGATCCAGAGAACCACAGCTGCACGAATCATGATGAGCTGAGACAATGATGTACAAGTACAGTGTTTATTTGGGTTACAATGCATTTGACAGAGTAATGCTCATGTAGAAATAATTATACATCAATATCTGCATAAAATTATAACTGTAGAGCCACCCCTCAGCTTGAGACATCATTACTATGTTTTGTTTGAAACCGTTAAAAGATTCATCCATTCTGTTGGGAACATACACATTTTATGAAAACATTCTTTATTTCAGCTAACAAGCTTTCTAAGTTGAACAGCAATGTAAGAAATGTTATTGTATAAACTGTTAAACTCAATAATAGGAACTCATTTTTCCAAAGTGGCCTTTGTTCAACCCAGCCTTGGAGTTTTTGAAACATTTGAACTGATATTTAATATCTCTCCACTGTGTCCAAAGGAGTGTTTTCTCAGACCCTCGTTCTCATGGAGATAACACAACAAGAGTCCTTTGTTTGTTCATCAACTGACTTCTCTCTCCAGGAACAGTTGAACAGTTCAAGTGACTCCTCTGTTAAAACATTGCATGTTTTAAGGTTGATTCAAAGATGTCATATTTTTGAACGTTTGTGTGTTTTAAGTAATATAATCTTTAAGATAATATAGCTTTTTCTTTTTTGTTTAGAATGGAACTTTAAAAAAGGCAGAAATAAGGATTTTAGATTTAAATATACAAGTTTCTTTATAGAAAGAAAGAATCCACTTAAGAGTCAGAACTACCTTCTGACCTCTGATAGGTTGAGAAAGTTAACAGCCAAGTCCCTTTTCTCATGGTTGAACCAATTAAGTCTATGTTACACTCTCAGAGTTCCCTTTCAGTTCATTTAAGCTTCAGCTTCTGACAGATGTCTCTTCAGAGGAGGAGAATGATGGAGCAAAAGGAAACCAACTTAAAAGTTAGAATCTTATTTTAGCTTTAAATCAGTAAAGACTCAAGCTTTTGTTTGAAGCTTCCTTATTGCTATTTAGCAACTTCTGGTGACCTCACAGTAATTACACAAATAAAAACTTAGAAGCAGTTCAACAAAGTTCATATTCAGTCATCCAGGTATCAAATCCAACAATTCTCAGTCAGGTCATCTGGACAGTTTCTTTTTTTAATAGAGACGTTTCGCCCTCTATCCGGAGGGCTTCATCAGTTTGAGGAGTTCCAGTAAACCGTTTCCCCACCAAGCAGTAAACTCCTTAAAAGCCCTCCGGATAGAGGGCGAAAAGTCTCTATATAAAAATAAAAAATATTAAAAAAATAAAAAATAAAAAAAAACTGTCCAGATGACCTGAGAATTATTGGATTAGAAGCAGTTCACCTTAGAAATATTTATTTAACCACTTCAAACCTTAATTTTTTTTAATTCCCCCCCCATTCTTAATGTGTTTTTGTCTTTCATGTACACCTGCACCTACAGTATATCTGGACCTGACACTGTTCATCTGTCTCTCCTTCTTGTCTTCTCAACCCAGCCGGTCAAAGCAGATGGCCGCTTGTCCTGAGCCTGGTTCTGATGGAGGTTTCTTCCTGTTAAAAAGGGAGTTTTTCCTTTCCACTGTTGCCACTGTGCTTGCTCAGGATGGGAGACTGCAACAAAGTGAAGATTCAACTTGTCTGCTGGCTTCCTTAGACAGAGAACTTTATTAATTAGCTTTTCTATGTATGTGAATGTTCCTGTAAAGTGGCCTGAGACAACTTTGTTATGATTTGGCACCATATAAATAAACTGAATTGAAATAAATATCTTAGACAACCAGTCCTAAGTCTGCCTTTAAGTTTCAAATAACATCAATCAGGCCTTGATTCAAAGTAATTTGATATCCGGTACGTTTATCATTCATATAGCATAGATTATTTATTTTTGTAATAAAAAAATAATACCAACTTCACTTATATAGCGCTTTTCCATCTCATCAAGATACTCAAAGCGCTTTACACTACAATCTGTGCCCTCATTTACTCAAGCATACAGCACTCTACTTTTGTATATCTATACAAAGAATAATCAGAGCTTTATCACTTTCATACATCAATGGGACACACATCGGAGGCAATGAGAGGTTCAGTGTCTTGCCCTGGGACACTTCAGCATGCGACTGCTGGTGGAATTGAACCCCCAACTCTTGCATTGGCGGACGACTGCTCCAACTACTGAGCCACAGCCGACATTCAGAACTGAATCTGGTCATTTTTAATCTGTGTGTTGATTAATTTGATCTCTTTATACATGAGAGAAGAACTCACTTTGCTAATTTGGGGTAAAAGAAACCGATTAAAAACAATTTCCTGTATGTAGGTGGTGCCCTGAGGTTATTTACATATCATGAGCATAACTCAATTGATATAAATATTTACACCCCATACACAACAGACCTGATGTTTGTCATACTAACAGCTTCATGTGTAAATGAAAATGTGAAGCTTTTCAAAATGTGCAATAAATAAATACATTTTGATCATCAAGTTACTTCATGGTTCAAAGAAGTTACTTCATGGTTCAAAGTACTGGGTTACACAGAAACAGTTTAGAATTTAGATTTGATCTGTCTGGTTTGATTAGGTCAGAACTATATTGTTTGCTTCCTTTGACACACCCAATCATTAAATGAACATGAAAAAAAATTAAAAAGACTGTTATGATGACAGCTTAAATCTATTCAAGCTGTGCATATTTATGCACCTGAATTATTTAAACCATCTTGGCTTATTCAAGTTAAAAATATCCTTCTCTTTTTTATTCATAGTTTTTTTTTTCTTCTATAAAACACATTTTTTTTATATAAATCCAAACATCTTACCATTAGCAAGGCCAAACATGTGGAGCTGATGAAGAGACGGGGAAACAAGACCCTACACATAAAAACACTCAATAACTCAGCCAACTAGACACAGGTGAAAAACATCAAGACAATCAAAGGCAGAACAGCCAAAAGTGTAAAAGGACAAAAGACAAGAGAGACAAGACAAACAGAGATCCAAAATCCACAGCAAATTAAACATCAAACAGAGGAAAATATTACAATGCCAGTCAAAAATCTAATATAACTCATTGCATTTGTCATTAACTGCATTGACCAGGCCAAACATAAAACAGAAAAAATTAAAATAATCATGAGAGGAGCTGAAAGATTTTGGGGGTTCAAAGAGGGATCTTGGGAAAACATTAACGAAAGGCTGGAAACAGATGGGAGACCAGGAACACCAGGTGACAATATATGATTATATTACAGTGGGATACAAGAAGTTAAATTGCCAGCGGACAGAAATTTAAAGTTTATATTGATGGACTTGAAGAGAAACCAGACATTTGTATACAGGAGACGTGGTTAAAACCAGCATTAGATTATTTTATTAAATGATATGATAGTTTAAGAAGGTATTGATAAGAAGGAAGTGGAGGAGGGTGTGTAATATTCATAAAGCAAGGAGTACAATATCAAATATTAGGGAAAGGTAAAGAACTGGAATATATAGTAGTGGAAATTTGGGGAGGGCATCACGGTGGTGCAACTGGTCTGCCTCTCAGCAAACAGGTTACCCTGGTTCAAATCCTGGGCCGGGGGCCTTTCTGGGTGGAGTTTGCATGTTCTCTCCGTGCATGCATGGGTTTTCTCCAGGTACTCCAGTTTCCTCCCACAGATCAAAAACATGCATGTTAGACTGATTGTTAACTCTAAATTGTCCCTAGGTGTGAGTGAGAGAGTGAAAGGTTGTTTGTCTCATTTGTCTCTCTGTGTCCCTGTGATGGACTGGAGATCTGTCCAGGGTGTCCCCCATCTCTCGCACAGTGACTGCTGGATATGGGCACCAGTGACACCCGCGACCCAAAAAGGAAGAAGCAAGTAAAAGATAATGGATGGATGAAATTTGGAAAAAAAGGGAAATGTGAGATAATTAATTTTGACAGTCCATATAAAACATTGTCACTTGAGTTGATGGAAGAGGTGACGGAATATCTGGAAGGGAGAGTAATATGGTGTGGGACTTTAAGAAGACTTTATTTTAAGAAAAAGGACAAAATCCAGGACAAACTTGAGAAACACGCCATTCTTCAGTTAACCATTTACTTGATGCTATTTTCTGCTAATATGTTTCTGAAAATCACCAATACTAAAATACTACTTTGTGTGTGAAACTTTAAATCAGTTCAACATTTTTGCACAGAACTGTGATTTATTTTATTTTATTTTGTTGCTGACTTGATCCTGATGACTGAACGGTTGAACTTTTTACAAGTAGCTCTAATTAGGGAAGTTGTACTGTTACAGTGACTTCACAATAAACAAGTCAATTTATTTTTAATTCTGTATAAGTGTTAGCTTTATGAAACTCAAACCAAACTGCATTGAAATTAGATATCTAATCTAATAAGACACTTAAAATAGATGCAAACAGATTTTTTTCTAAAAAAAAAAAACAAACAAAAAAAACCAGCTTTTGTAATTTAAAACAAAGTTTAAAACTTTGCAATCTTCTCATTTTTGTTGCTACTCTTACACTGTTAGTTGTTTTCAGTGTCGCTCATAAATATGCAACAGATGTTTTTAATCAGGCTGACGTTGCCTGAGGAACTGAAACAGGTCATTTTTCCTAAAGCTGTAGATCACGATCTGATGAAGCCAATAAGACCACATCATCTGCAAAAAGCAGAGACGCAATCCTAAGGCCACCAAAATGGATCCCCTCAACACCTTGGCTGCACCTAGAAATACTGTCCATAAAAGTTATGAACAGAATCGGTGACAAAGAGCAACCTTGGCGGAGTCCAAGTGTCACCGGGAACAAGCCCGACTTACTGCCGGCGATGCGGACCAGGCTCTGACACCGGTCATACAGGGACCTAACAGCCCGTATCAAAGGGCCCGGTACCCCATACTCCCAGAGTACCTCCAACAGGGTTCCCCGAGGGACGCGGTCGAACGCCTTCTCCAAGTCCACAAAGCATATGTAGACTGGTTGGGCAAACTCCCAAACACCCTCCAGGACCCTGCTGAGAGTGTAGAGCTGGTCCAGTGTTCCACGGCCAGGACGAAAACTGCACTCCTCCTCCTGAATCCGAGGTTCGACTATCCGACGGACCTTCCTCTCCAGAACCCCCAAATAGACCTTACCAGGGAGGCTTAAGAGCGTGATTCCCCTGTAGTTGGAACACACTCTACGGTCCCCCTTTATGAATAGGGGGACCACCACCCCGGTCTGCCAATCCAGGGGAACTTCCCCTGATGTCCAAGCAATATTGCAGAGTCGCGTAAGCCAACACAACCCTACAACATCCAGAGCCTTAAGGAACTCCAGGCAAAAGACACTGACAATTTCAGGGGGGTCGTGACGGCAACAGATGATGAGAAGGTACGCATCCCATCGCAACCTTCTGCCGGCTTAGACTTCAAGCCGAGAACGTAAGTCTTGCAGTGAGAAAAATGCTTCATCTTCCGTAGTTACTTAAACTTCTATTTTCTTCTAACAAAACTATAACTGAGCAAACATGTTTATTTGATCAAGAATAAATAAGTGGACCTTGGATGACCAACAGGATCGGCGACCAAAGATGAACCGCCAGTCACACAAAGGAACTTTGTGTAAAAACAGCTCTCAGAAGTATTTTGGCTATTAGGAAACATTGTGACTCCCCTCTGAAGTAAACAGTTCCCAGCTCAAAGAACATTAACAGTTGTCTCAGGAAAAAAGTTATTTTCTGAAAAACAGAACAGAGAAATATGTTAAACATTATATTTCAAATTATTTAATTGTGATTGAAAACATTATTCATGTTCACATTTGCTATAATTAAATTAAACTTTAATGATTTTCTTTCTTAAAAGCTTAGGAAAAAAAGGTCAAGTCAAACTTTAGCTGACTTGAGTTAGTGAATGTGTAAAACACCCAGTGGTGGGGTGTAACTAAGTACAAGTACTTCATTACTGTACTTAAGTACACTTTTCATGTATCTGTACTTTACTTAAGTAGAGTTAAACATGGGTACTTTTTACTTTTACTCCACTACATTTTACATTAAGTATCTGTACTTTCTACTACACTACATTTCTATAATGTGTTGTTACATTCACGTCGCAACTTTTTTTATTTGTTCGTTAATTTGAAAGTAACCAATGGCGTGAGGGGAGTTGGTCCATTGAATCAATGCAAAGTGGGCAGGTAACATTAGACCCACCTTCAAGAAGAGCTATATTCTAGTATATATGTCGTTGAGCTGGGTGCACCCGCAGCACCGCTAACACGCCCAAAATAGATTCCACTGAGGAAAGTCAGCCAGAAGATACAGTACGTGCCACCCATGGCCTTACTGAAAGACTATTGAAAGTCTATTGAAATATTATTGAAAGACTATTCATTACAGCAGGACAGATTCTCTCTCCCAAAAGAGACAAACTGGACTTAAAAAACTTTGAAAAACAACTTCTTCTGAACTTGAGCAAGAAATTCTTGCTGCAATGTCAAAATTTTTCAGTTCATGGGATGTTAGGACAGGAGATGAGAGATGTCTCCTAATTCGACTCTCGGGTCCAAGTTTTGAAAATGGTGTCAGGAAGTTAAAATATTGTTCACTATTGACCCATTACAAGGTTGACTAGACAGTATTTTAACTAGAGTTGATGACAAATTGGAGTTGAAATGATCCTTTGTTAGATGTGTCTAATGCTTTTTTTTTTCAGGCAGACAACTTTTACTTAAACGTGTTTACTGCAGTTAAAATGACAATGATTTTGATTTGTGTTAAAAACTTTTAAAGGTTAAATCATTCCTCTTATTTTGCTTAATGACATTTAACTCTGCATGTCATCCCTGAAGTTCTGACACATAGAATCACAAGTGCAGGTGTGAACTGTGTCACAGAGTAAACACAATAAAAACATGTATCTGCAACGTTGTTTATTAAAATGACAATACTATTAATGTATTACAGAAAATATACATACAGTAGGTACATTTAATGATATTGTAGACCACTGCATTAGGTAATACATTCAGCAAGTACTTTTACTTTTAATACTTTAAGTATTTTTAAAAGAAAGTACTTTACTTTTACTTAAGTAAAAACGTTAATGTGGTACTTCTACTTTAGTAGAGTACGTTTTTGTCTGTTTATTTGTACTTTTACTTAAGTACAGTGTTTGAGTACTTTCTCCACCATTGAAAACAGACATTCAAGTTAAAAACTTAAGAAAATTCATGGCGAGTCTGAAGGACAACCCAAGGGTCATAGTTAGGGGAGAGCATCTTCATGCTACAATAGTTGACTTTTGGAATTTGAAGAACTAAGTGTAATTCAGCTGGATTGTCAGGCCATAAGTGCAGGTAGAAGGGATTTTTTTTTTTTTTTTTATGAAATAGCATCAGCTTAAAATGTTTAAACCAGACTTGACATGCTCTGTCGTCAACATCCAAACACAGTAGTGCCTTATGTAGGAACAGCCGGCATGGTTTGCATCCCAAGGATCTCAGGTGTGAGGTACCCGTTTCACACCAAAATGGGATGGCTTGGACCAGAGAGTCAGAGGGTCAGTTGAGATCAGCTAGTCTAAAATGTCTCCCTGTACAGATGAGGCTGACAGACTTTAAACAGGCCTGGCACCTCTGGCTGATGAGTGATGGAGGGCAATAAGCAGTCCCTTGCTGATCTCAAAGTTATCAAGTCTTGCAGAAGTGTTTCTGTAATTATTCGTTCTAGTTGGCTTTAACAAAAACCGTCTATTCAAACTTTTGTCCAGGTGTGAAACGGATGGATAAAATGCGTACAAGATAAGGCAGATCGTTTAATGCATTTCACAAATCTGCAGCTTTGAGTTTTAGCAGCCCCCAAAAAATGCTTTGGGATTCTCAGACTCCGTTTTAACATGTCAAGTTTCTTCAGCCCAAGACATTTAAACAGTGGGATTTTTTTTAATTTTATTTTATTATTATTATTTTTTTTAAATTGCAAGTAGTTCATGTTAATGTGAAACATGATCAATTATTTTCTAGCTTTAAAGTTATGAGGTATTTTAGGACAGTGAATGTGCAAGACATTCAGGTCAAAGCTAACTATAATCGTTCAGGGACGTTGACCTCAGGTTCAGAGGTCACCAGGACTGTCATTCACACTATGGAAGCGGTCTTAAATCTAATATTGAATGGATTAGTGTTTAATGTACCGTACATTCCTCTTTTTTTTTTATATATACACAAACACAATAATTACTGCATCTCTATGTATGCAAAGACCACATTTCCTTTGAATGTAAGGTTTATTACAACTGCGCTTGCAAAGTTTTCTTCAGAGGTTTGGGTTGGAAATTTTGCCCATGAAAAGTATGGTCTCCGTACTTCGTTCAACAATCATGAACATGAAAGGACTATTAAACTTCAAATCTTGCTTCAAGCAAGAGTCAAAGACGACGTTTCCTGTAGCAGCGGCAGCAGAGGCTCCTTCCTCGTCAACATCCAGGGCAGCTCTGTGCACAACCTAAACAACAGAGTGAGTTCAAATATGGACAGAATGAAGAAAGGAAATTTAAACAGTACATTTTCTGTCATACCTCTGATACAGTCAGGTTATGTTCTTTAGAAATACCACTCAGATTTGCATGATCAAACACATCTGTCATTCCCATTTCCTTCAGCACATCATTCAGGGTGTAGGAAGTCTTGATGGAAAACTTGGGAATATAAATGCCACAATCCCTAGAACAGAAAAACAATGAGGACAAATTCAGTAAAAATTGAGGGAGCAAGTTACACTAAACCTTAAAAGTAAGTGCAACATGTATGCGCTTACCTAGACTCTGTTACTTTCAGCCATTCAATAACGTGAGTGGGACTGATCATGTTCTCCAGAGTAGTCATATTATCAGGCATCAGCAGCAGCATTGAGAAGGAGTTGCTGAAGGGAAGGTGGAGGACTAATGTGCCGATTTCGTCATCAAAAGTATAAAAGTGTTTTTCTATTTTCATCATCTGGACTGGAACCTGGAAAATAAGTGTAAACATAAATATGGAAATTTTTATATGAAAATTATTTTTTTTTTTTAAAAGTTGTATGTATGCATATTTATATTAAGCATACTGCAATTTCAAACCTTTTCATTTTCATCCACGGTGAATTCATCCAACTTGGTCAGGGCAGGATCAAACCCAATCGGCCACTTTCCTGTATGAAAGTGAGCAGAAACACTTGGTGGTGGCAACTCAGTAAAAAACAAAAATCTCATGACAACCTTTACCTTTGTAGTAAATGTAGTTGAGGAGATACAAGACTGTG